CCCCAAAACCCCAAAACCCCAAAACCCCAAAACCCCTTTATGGCACAACAAATAGAAAGTTATTATATTTAATCAATATTGAGGTATCCATCTGTCTGAGATTCGTTTAGATCATCTTCAAATCTTTCACCTGCAAAGGTCTCAGATATCTCTCAAATTCTGTTAAACTCTAAGAGTTCGTTTTTAGAAGCCATTTGTTCAAGTTGAAAGGCTTCAATATTCTTCTCTCTAATGTTTTTGAATCTGCTAATATTTCCAGAAAAGGGACGAGATGAAAGAGCTCTTCATCATTTTTATCATCATATAAAGGTATTATAGGGATTCCATTGTTTAGTTGAAATCCGAATGAATAAACAGCATTATCAACGATTATTAGATCCTTGAGATTTCTGTTAGCAAATATTCTAAGGTCTTTGATATATACTCCTTCCTCTGTCTCATATCAGCTATCCCTATAAAGCCTCTTATTTACCAATACTAATCTTCGAGATTTTGAGTAAGAACTTGCTTAATTCTTTAGAATTGATGAACAAGGTAAGAACCCTCTCTTATGCTTCCATCGATTGCTTATTGAAACTCAATAAGCTAAAACTATTGAATAACAGATGAAAGTGCAAATTTAGTAACCTCCTTAATAAAGTAGTAAATCAGGAAGTTAGCATCAAATCTTTTTGATTAGTTCTTAAGACCCCGGAGTTCAAAAGCAATAAACTAATTATATATCTTGAGCATAAGTTCTGCCAATTTTATCGACCGAATTAATTGAGAGATTTGTTAAGCTCAAACTTTGCAGATCGTTTTTGTTTTAGTAATAGTTACGCGTTATATACTCATAAACCTTTTTTATTTGGGATCAAGTAATATCTATGCTTTTATAGCAATTAAACATAATCTAGTCTCAAGTTAAATCAAGGAACACTTATTATCGTTAGATTTTAGTTCTTTATGATCTATATTTTATCAAAAATAATTATTTTAGTATCTTATCTATTGAAAAGCTCTTTTCAGTAGAATTTTCGCTAAGATTCTGATTACTTTCCGCTAACACTTATATAGAAAATAACAACAGTATAATAAATTTGTCAGATTCGCACAGAACCTCCCAAAGACCTATCTTTATAAAGATATCAGTAAGATTTAGCCCTAATTCATAGAGAGTATCTACTATCAATTAAACTGCTCAACCTCAAGCTAACTGTGACTCTGAAGTTAATAAAAAGGATCGAGTTAGAAGAATAGACTAAGATAATTACCCATGCTAACTTCCCCATGATTTCTAAGAGATAATTCATCTGATTTCACTCATTGGTTCGCTGGATTTAAAGTTCAATACCAATTTATTTTCCTTTAGATATTCCAGAAGATGGCCAAATTTTCTGGAAGAGGAGGATAATTTAAACTGGATTCAAACTATCATGCCAAGGTATAAGCAGAGGTATGAATAAATCAGGTGTTACAAAACTCTGGTCAAAATCAACCAAAAATGCATCTAAGAGCCACTTTTTAATCTCTAATATATTTAATTCCTCCTAAAGACATATGGAATAATTAATCCTTTTCAAAGAATTGTGTGGGATTAAATATTGAGCTGAATAGATAAAACCGTACATATCCTTTCTTTTAGTAGCCTCTGCTCAGAAGCGTAAGTAGTAAAACTCTAGAGCGACAGGTTATGAAGATTGCATAGTGAGATATCTCGTTCGAAGGTTCTTTGAAAGAATGCTCAAAGGAAAGGAGAAAGGTGGTCATGATATAACTCAGAATTATAATCTGCTGAGAAGGTGTTCCATAGAATCTACTGGGGGTAGACTGTATAGGTAAACTACTATATCTCTACATAATAGATTCTTCTTACGAAAGAGTGTCCATCAACTTTGGATCAAGTGTAAATAAAACCTGCGATCTGATTTTTTAGGAGAAATGCTGAAAGCTTAACCAAGGTTAAATATCTGAATAAAAATATTCTTCGACCACTACTGATGGACCTTTCTCTCTACAAATGGTGAGGATTTTTGAGTGATCTCTTTAGATATTGGAACATAATGACCACAGTAAAGGTCACCTAATCCAATAATCTCCACATGAGGCCACATAATCTAACCAGCCCTATAAAAACCAAACAAAAAGTCCCTCTACACCTCCAAAACCACCTTTGCCCAGCAATTCTTAGTTCAATGTGCCTAAATTTCCTTCGTCTCTCTTATTCTAATTCCTCAGTAATTTTCAATTTCTGTAGCCCAGATCGGGGTTTTGGGGTTTTGGGGTTTTGGGGTTTTGGGG